AAGCACTTTGTAAGAACGCTACTCTATTTTACTTTGATGTCGAGGAAATCAGATTTGCTTTGAAGGGGGAAAAGCATTTGTAGAGGCTCTTTGCAAAAATAACACTTTAACTACTTTGGATATTAGTGGAAATCAGTTTAATTCTGATGTCAGAAAAACCCTTAGCAAGAGCTCTTCATAAAAAAACTACTCCATTTATATTGTACGAAAAAAGAACTTAGCTGTGAGGGTGGTAAAGCATTAGCAAGAGTTCTTTGTAATAACATTACTCTGAATGTCTATATATAAATGGAAATAAAATCGGCCCTAAAGGAGGAAAAACATTAGCGGAGAATCTTTGTTGTAATCACACTCTAATAACTATAACAACTATTAATCTTTCCTTTAACCCATTTGGTTCGGAAGTAGGAAAAATATTAATAAAGCCTTTTTACATGAACACTCGTATAACTTTTATATGGCTTTATGACAATCAAATTAATAGGAATATTTTAAGGGAATCAATAGTTTGCTTTTAAATAGAAGATAATTTGAATAGATCCATTACAGAGAAAAACAGTCTAGAATTGATGAATGTCTCTACTTCGTTTAGGTATGAATAAATCTGAACGAATATAGTCTTTATTCTTTTATTATGCATCTTATCAACTTTATCATTGTTACTAAAATAATTTATTAAAAAACTTTGCTAAAAAAATTTCTTTTTGCAGACGTGTTTACAACAATATGACTACTATTTTTTCATCATTTCCAGGTGTTGGTATAATAGTATTTACAACTTCATTATTACTATCATCTGCTTTTTCATTTCCGGGTGTTGGAATTCCTCTTGCTAATTTATTTTTATAAAAAATGAAACCTCCAACTATCAGTAATATACTAATTAGAATTCCTACTAAAATTCCTATGATAATTTTGATCATCATTGAAATACTATCGGTTTGTGGTGTTGCAATTGATATTGTAGGAGTTGCAGGAATTATAGAAGTTGTAGAAACAAAATTATATGTCCACACATATTATTATCATTGCTAATATCGAGTAATAGGATGTCACTTTCATTAGTTTGACTATACCCTAACCCTATTTGAATACATAACATTATCAAAGAATTGAATTAATTGAATACATAGCCTATAAAATAAGATAGATTTACCAAAAGATATAACCATATATTTTCCAATTAAATTTGCCATGTGCCAGCCTCGATTTGATGGAATTGTGACTGAAACATTCGGTCTATACCATTGAAAGTTTACTACATCTGCCAAGACTATTATTCGTTTGTTATCCAATCCTTCTAAAATAGTGATAATTGCCAAATGAGATAATGAAGGAAATTAGCAATTTTAAAACATTTATTGAATGCATACCGAGAACATTTGCAAAAGAACTTCTATTTGAAGGTATTTGACCTGAAATGGGCTGTTTTAAAGTAATATAAATTTTAAAGTAATTTGTTTTTGGACCAACTTACTCTTGTATTCCAACTAGCATTAATTGTGTTGTATAAAATAAGCCTATGATAATAAATAATATTTATATAACGCAATAGATGTGAAGTTATCAAAAAAGATTAAATACATTACTTCATTTGGGCCTAAAATTGTTCCATCATAGCCACCTAAATAAATAAAGTAAATTGTATAAATACATATACTATATATATCAACCTATATGTGATCAGCGTAAAAGAGAAAGATGTGAAGGTACTCCGAATTAAAAATTGCCAAAAAAAAAACTCGCAGATTTAACATGATTTAATAATTTACTTTATGCCAGTAAAGAATTTATAATGGCTAAAAATGTACAAAGAGCTATTTTTTCGTTAAAGTGTGAATGATATTAAGAGAAAACTGTAAATTGATTCCCAAATTTTTATCTTGCCAGATGTCCTAAAAAATTAGTATCGTAATCTGCAATGACAACAATGTCAACATATTATTTTCATAACATTATTCCATAGACGATCATTTTATTGCTGTCCGTGGTAAAGAATAAATTCTGAATAATATGTATACAATATTGGGCAGTAGATGAAAAAATAACAGGACATTGTTTTCATCGGAGTCAATTTCACTCCATGTGC